TGAGGGCTCCATGGGGGCCGAGACTCTGTCCATCTGTCTCCAGGGACTCCCTGGCTTGTGGTTGGCCTTTGATAAGTGACAGTTGAACGAACAGTAACAACAGTAACAACCAAAGAAACTTTGATTAGTTCTCCCTAACCCCCTCCCATATATATGCCATTTCTGTCCCCTCCATATCTGTCAGTTTTAGATGAACCAGTGGGTAAACACAAATCCTTCTGAGGGATGTAGCCTCAGCAGGGGTAATTGCGACACAATCAACTATTTGACTTCAAGAGAACCCTTGTAACTAATGAAGATGTTAATTAAAAACATGCCCCTGCTAGGACGACCTCTCAGTTCAGAAACTCAGAAATGCAATACATTTGCACTCCCCACCAGCACTCAGCGATCTTGGCTAGAATGTACGTAGTACTCAGAAGACCATCTACTCGGATCCTTATTTGAGCAGTAAACAAATTTTTAAAAAAACATCATGCAGTCTCTAAAAATAAGTGGTATTTCAAAATGAAAACCAGCCCACAAGTAGTTGGCACATCTGGTAGACAGAAAAGCTGTATGGTTTGTTTTCAGGGAATGACAAGCCAAGGAACATTCAAGCTTGGCCAGTTGAAAACTTTTCTTCTTTCTGTGGTGACACCTGGTTTTAAAAAAGTTGGCTCGAGCCTTAAAGCAGAGAGAATATTGGAAGTGGGTAGAGAATTAAATAGCATCATTTACTCTTTTGTGCATAGAATTATAAGGAACTGTTTTCTTCTTCAAGAAAGAGAGTGGAACACAAAAGCAGTGAGAGCGTGAGCAGTAATAGTAAGAGTCATGACAATAACATCTGACGTCTGTTGAATACCTGGTATGTGCTGGAAGGTGTGCAGAGTCCTGTGTAATCAATACGAGATGTGCAACAATCTTAAGAGGTAGTATTATCTTTATTCCCGTTTAACAGGTGAGAAGGCACACGGATGCTTTAGTAATGGCCCAAGTCACAGGACCAGCGTGGGTGAAGGGGGAGGCCCCAAGTCAGGCTGTCTCCAGAGCCCAGAGCCCAGACCCCAGAGCACAGCGTGGTTCCGAGCAGTCTGCTGGTGGTTACGTTTGGCACTATGGAAACGACATTTGAGTGGGATGGTTGCATTGAGCACCGGGTCGTGGTCAAGCTATTATTTGCTTCCGCTTGTGAGACAGACGATGCCATTTTCCAGAACATTCTTACAGCTGTGCCACAAACATTACTTGTTTCCCATCAATTTACTGTTCACCCTCATGCTTCAGGGTGCTTTTTATGATACCTTTCAGAAGCTGTCGTTCCTCTGTGGTTAGAGGAGGCCAGTGAATTGGGGAGTAGGAGGTGGTGTAGCCAAAGCTATGGGGGTACTGGCAAGGGGAGGGTCCATGTCGCTATATGACAGAGTGGGAGGAATGTGTGAATCCAGGCTAGAGAGTTACAAAGGCAGCCTTGACCAGTGTAAAGTTCTCACCCAGGAAGATAGGCTTATAATTACGATCCCCACGGGCTTCATCTTCAGTTCTTTTTTTTTTTTTTTTTTTTTTAAGATTTTATTTATTTATTCATGAGAGACAGAGAGAGAGAGAGAGAGAGAGAGGCAGAGGGAGAAGCAGGCTCCCAAGGAGCAGAGAGCCTGATGCGGGACTCGATCCCAGGACCCTGGGATCATGACCTGAGCCGAAGGCAGACGCTTAACCATCTGAGCCACCCAGGCGCCCTTCATCTTCAGTTCTGACCTGGTTCGCAGTACTGAGGAGAGGTGTCAAGGGACTGACTTGGTTGGCGTTTGTTTTTGAAAACCTGCACTGTTGTTTTAAAAAAGCTAACCAGGAGGGTTTCAGTGGCAATAATGTGTGAGCATTTAATATGCATGTACAACTGTCTTTTCATTCATTCATTAAAATTTTTGTTCGTTGAGGTGTAAGTGACATGTAGCGTTCTGTTAGCTTCAGGTGTGCAATGCAGTGATTCACTGTTTACAGGCACTGGGAAATGATCACCACAGTAAGTCCGCTCACCATCCGTCTCCACACATAGTGACACACATTGTTTTCCTTTTCTTTCTCGTGATGAGGACTTTTCAGATTTACTCCCTGAACGACTTTCAATAGTTTTATTAACTATAGTTTTATTAACTATAGTCACTGTGCTGCCCGTTACACACCCAGGACTTACTTATGTTATAACTGGGAACCCTAGGTCCCCTTCACGGCCCCTCTCCCTGGAACCACTAATCTGTTCTCTGCGTTCACATTCGTTCATTCTTAACTCCACTGACAGACTTTGGTGTGTACGTAGTATAGACCCTAGGCTAGGTGCTGAGGAAGCAGAGCTGCCTCAAGCAAGGTCTTTGTCTTCCAAAGCAATAAAGTATAAAAGAGGAGGACGTGACAGGCGTGTCAGCGTGACCGTTCCGTAAAGATGCTGAGGCAGGTGTGTTATGAGAGATGGGGGGGCACAAAAAAAAGACCTGGCCACATCTGCCCAGTTGGCAGTGGGGGAGGGGCCGTTGGAGAGGAGGTGACCTTGGAGTGGAGGGCATGAAGATGGAGAGGTGCTCAGTAGGTAGACAAGTGAGGGTAAGGCTGTGCCAGGCAGAGAGGAGAGCATGAACAAGACAAGGGTTAAGTGAAAAGCTTCAGCAGTCATATTTGTATTTATTGATTCTAAGGTGTGCCTATTTCTGCATCAGAATATCTCTGAAATCTCGATACCACGTGCTAGGTTCATTGGCCGTGCATGTTCTTACCGGCACGTAAAGTAATACCATGGCTTACGATACATGGCACCTTAGCTTCGATGAAGAAAGCATCAGTATGCTTTGTCATCAAGTGGTATTTCTTGGTTGTGCTATTCTGGCTGTTAATATGTATTTGCTTTAAAGGTAGACTATTAGTACCTTTTTACTGGGAAGGAATCAGGCATTAAATGACAGATGAATAGATGATATTGAATTTAACAGAATACCTGACATCTGATGTTGCTTTTCATAGCGTGGCTAGTAGTGATGGAACCTGGGGAGGCAATTCAAGGGTCACATATTGGACTAGGCTCCGAACCATCACATTGCCTCTTTCCGAGTTAAAAAAGGGAGTTTGAAAAGCAAATGGCATGTGGCTTGTTGGAATTTAAAAGATACTACATTTATGATCATTGTGTAAAAATGTACCCACTACTTTTGGTGGCAAGATGGAGTCCTGAAGGTACAGTCTTCTATGCGTTATGAAATCAGAGAGACTATCGTAAGATTGGTCTTTCAAGGGCGCCTGGGTGGCTCAGTCATTAAGCGTCTGCCTTTGGCTCAGGTCATGATCTCAGGGTCCTGGGATCGAGCCCCACATCGGGCTCCCTGCTCAGCAGGAAGCCTGCTTCTCCCTCTCCCACTCCCCCTGCTTGTGTTCCCTCTCTCGCTGTGTCTCTTTCTGTCAAATAAATAAATAAAATCTTAAAAAAAAAAAAAAAGATTGGTCTTTCAAGGCACAAGAAGATGCATCAGAGGTGGTGGTGGGAGGGGGCAAGGGAAAGGTTCTGGTTTATGTGTCTGAAAAAAAAAATTGGAGAGAAATTTCTGTTGGAGCTAATGATCTTGGCAAATATCCAAGGAAGAAACTAAGCATCCAGTACCTAAACTTAAACACACAGGCACCATAAAAATACACCATAGTGTAATCCATTTCTGCGCTGTCATTAAATCCCTGTGTGGCCTTGGGCAAGTGAATTACCACTGGGATTTCCCAGAGGGCTGGACTACAAAGCAGGTTCCTTCCAGCTAAAAACACTGCAACTCTCTCAGCATTTTTGAGATGTGGTTTCATTGATGAGAGCATGGTGATTGCTCTAAGGTCTTGTTTATCCTTCAGTTCTGTGGGCTCTTGGAAGAGAATGTTACAAAAGATGACAAAGTCATTTTTTTGATTACTGATTTAATTTCTGAAAAAACAAAATAGGAAATTATGTCCCCTAGGGCTAAGGAAAGTTACTGTGATGATTTTCCACTTACTTTGATCCCAACTATATCAATGAGAAATAGGGAATTTGGTGAGAAAATTTTAGAGTCTAATTTGTTAAAATCTGACATCATATTTATTTTTGTTTGAAATGGGAACACAATGTACAGTCACTGAGACTTGCCCAGGTAGTTTGCAAAAAATGTTTGAAAAAGTACATCCATATGAAAAGAATGTCTAGAATGATTCAACTGCTTTTATTATTTTTTTATAAGTGAGTCATGGCTGTGTTTGACTTTCTCTTCTATGCTTTTCATTTCTCCATAATGAAACAGATTTTTGTGGGTTTCTTTTTTTTTTCTTCTTCCTTTGGGTATATACCACATTTTACTACATTTGAAGATTGTTACTAATGAAATGATAAATCTATGTTGAATTTGGTTACCATGCTGCTTTTAGAATGAGTGTTTTGTTTATGGCTCTTTCATCCTGATTTTTTTTTTTTTTTTAATTTGGGTCTATGTCCAATAACAATGTACTGGGATGAAGAGGAGAAATCAAGATTGGAGAGACAAAGCCAGACTATATCCCTTTAAGGAGACATTTTGGGAGCCCAGAACTGGAAGGAAGTAAACCAGTTAAATAAGTGCTGTTTGGCCGTGTCAACTTTCCTTGTTGGGCAATTCAAGATATTAGCTGTTCTAGAAGAAACTTCTAGATATAAGTAATTCCATCTACTTACCACCTTGACCCTTTAGGTAGGGAGATGATAAAGTATGATTCTTAATAACTGGGTACTTCTACATAGAAGGAGCAAAATGTAAGCTCATTTTGTATGAATGGTGATTATCGAAGGGTTTTTATTGTAGCAATGGCTTTTTCATTGGAAATACCAGGAAGCTTTTGGTATCACTAATACTAAAAATGAACAGAAAGGTGATCCAAGGACTGTCTTAAAAGAGGAGTCCTGATAGAAGTGGGCAGATGTGTGTATTTACTGATTTTTGATGTAAGGGACATGAAAGCTAACCTGATTCATTTGTTTTTAGGGGCTCTTGGCTTTGGGCCTCAGTGCAAGTCCATTGGAAAAGGCAGCTGCAACAATCTAGTGGTCACCAGCAGTCCCATGATGGTTCAGCGACTGGGACCCAATTCACCTCCAGCAAGCCAGGTCTCTACAGCATGCAACCAGATCAGTCCTAGCTTACAGAGGGCAATGAATGCTGCCAACCTGAATATACCTCCTTCAGATACCAGGTCTCATGTTACTTTTTTTTTTCTCCCTTCTTATGGTATAATCATACCCCACGTATGTTTTCCCTTCCCTTTCTGAACACATGTACACACACACCCCCCACACACGTACACACACACATATACTCACTCCAGCAACTCTTTCAATTTGAGCTTTGTAGGGGAATGTGTATAAAAACGAAGTATGTGTCGTAATATCCTCTTAATTGGGAAGAATGGTTTCCTACCTGCTGTCTTGTACTGTAAGTGTAGTTAATGTCCATTTTGAGACGCTTAGGCCTTCGTGACGAAAGCCCAGTGTGTAAACGTGGCAGTGTGGTGAGGCTGGCCCTGTCCTGGCTAGAGAATTGAGATGCGCCATGTTCATCTCTTACCTGCTTGTTTTCCAGGGTATGTGTTGCAGTGTCCCCAGGCTGCTTTACCATCTGTTTTGTCTGTCCATCCATCCACCCGAATATCTATTAAGTACCTACTGTCTGTACAATACAATAGTTGACGTTTAGGGAGATGGTAGGAAAAGTAAAGAGAAGTCATGACTTTCGAGACTTTATGATGTGTCTGGGAAGACACACTTTCATGCATGAATTACATAGCATTTCAACATAATGTCTGATTAGGTGCCAGAATAAGGGGGTCCAGTGAATGCTGTGCGTCATTCTGTATGGGAGAGAATTGAATAGGAAAGGGAAATCACCCCTTCAGATACATTTTTATATCTCTCAAGGTTGATATTATAGGGGACATAAAACCAAAATACTGTGCAATGTGTAAGGTCCATTTCCATATTTGAAATGAATTATTTTGTCTCCTAATGAGTAGCCTTCTTGGAGAAACACCATCCAGAGTTTTTAACCTCTTAGTCCTGGCTCTGCTGTAGCTGTGATTTTGCAAAGGAATTGGACTATATGGGCCCTCTGCTTCCTCTTCTCGGAGGATGGAATTTACTGAGGTGTCTCACAGTTGTGGGGTCCCGTGTCTTCTCCCATCCTTCCTCCTCTTCCTCCTGTATCCTTTTCCCTCTCGTATCTCTGCCCTGTCCTCCCAGCCACTACCTGAGACTCAGAAATCATAGTTCCTGGATCCTTTTTTTTTTATGCCAGTTTTTTCATGAGATGGAAACTTGTTTTTCACCTGAGAATTTTTGTGATGGGAAGCTGCTGCTGTCATTTTGCCATTGATGATTATGCCTTGAGGGACTCCTCAGACTTGCTGAGTGTTGCATGTAAAATTAACTGTACTCGGGGGGTAGGTGTCATTGGAAAGCCTTCAGCTTCCTGTCTGTGGCAAGTCCAGCCCATGCCTTGAAGGCAGAGAGTCATAATTAATGGAGAAAGTGACGGTAGACAGGGCATGCGCTGCTCCAGCCTCGTACCTTATGCAGTCCCTTTCATGGGTCGGCCAGAGAAGGGTCATTATCTCAGTGTTTTCTGGCATATTTGATTCCTTAGCATAATTTTATATCCTTAAAGGACAGCATCTTAAATATGCATTGACATGTGTTTTTGACTATGTATTCTGAGTCCTTCTATGGAAATCATTCTTTGGCAGGACGAGCAAAGAAACAGGAGTTGGGAGGTCGGGTGGCTTGGTGAAGTACGGAAATTACTTTTAGCAATCTGGGAAGGTTGCATTTATTGTGATCCTTAAATTGGGTTGTGTGTTCCTTCAGAGGAAACAAAAGGATAGGAGGCAAGAGTTCAACCTGAGGGCATTTTGCTGTCTAAAGATAAAGAGAAGATGGAGAGAGAATCATCTCTGTGTGTTATCCATTGGAGACATGCCAGAGGGAAGCGGGTGGGGGAGGGGGCGTGCGCTGTTTGCAGTGAGTGATGGCTGTCCTCTAGAAAGCTGTAAAGTTTATTGTTTTTTCCTGATTATCTATGTAATTGTTATTCATCGTAGAAAATACGGAAAGTGTGGAAAAGCAGGAGGTAGTGAATGATAGTTGTCCTGAACCCTATCACCCACAGGCAACCGTGGGAACAATTTTGATACATTCCCTTCTCGTTACATGCAGATGCATTCACGATAAGCACAGGTTTTCCTTTCCACCAGATTGATCTATAATTACCTACATGGTCTTATAATTACCATTTTTTTTTTTTAACTAATAGAAACACTTCCTTTGTAGTAAAAATCTTCTTCAGCATTGTATAATGGCTTCTTCCTGCCTAAGATTCCATTTTATTTAAAAAAAAAACAACCTGTGATTTTTATCAGTCTTTTATTACTGGGCATTCATTCAGCTGGTTCCCTTTGTTTCGGTATTATAAGTAATGCTTTATCAGATCAATTCTGTAAATCTGCTGTTGCATATCTCTGGTTACGAGAATAAATTCTTAGAAGTAAAATTTGCTGAGTTAAAGGAGATGTACGGTTTTGAGGCTTTTGCTCTAGATTCCAAAATTGCACTGCAGCAAAGTTCTGCCCATTGATGCACTTGCCAGCAGTCTGACAGTTCCTGTTTTCTTACTAAATACTAGGTATTTTTATTCTGATACCTTTTGCCAATTTGATGTGCCAATTGTTATTTTATCTTAATTTGAATTTTCCTAATTATTAATAATATTGAGTAGTCTCCATAGATTTACTGTTTGCATTTCTTCTTTTGACTTCCTTTGACTGTTTGTCTTCTGGAGTGCTCATTTTGGGAAAAGCACTCTTCTGTAGCTTCGTTGGGTTCGGCTTAATGCAGTGACACACAACATGCCCTAATGCTGTATATTTGCCTTTATTAACTTCCCAACCATTTCTGACGAGCCCCACTTAATAATAAATGCAGACTACACCTTACCTTCTTGAAGATCCAGAAACCATTCTTGATCTAGGCATTGCCAGAACTCTGTAATACAGAGGCCACCATATGTATTTACCTTAAAATGACAAGTACACTGATACGATAACCTCATACAGTAGCTTCATGTACCCATACAGCAAAAGTTGGGCAACAGAAGAGATTGGACACTACTGGTGGGCTTTGTATATGTTTGGCTTTCCTGGTGCTTTCATATACATTGTGATTGTGCATTTTATGATTGAATATTCATAAACCATCTGTAGGTGTTACCTCAGTTTTATAGATGATGGGCCCAAGACACACAAAGTCTAAATGCTTTGCCTAGTGTCACTTAGCTTGTCATTTACAAAGTGCAGCCATCAATCTAATAATGTCATTCTGGATCTCACAAGGCTCCTCATTTTTCTCTCCTAAACCACACATTCTTGGAGGTGATTTCTGGTGGTGGAATTTCTTAGGGTTTCCTTTTGGGTTGGAGTATGTCCACAAAGCTCAGAGGAGGCCAAGGTGGCTGAGAATGGACTGTGGACTCTGTTAAGTTCTAACGGTTTACAAAGCCATACTGTCTTCAGATGCAGTGCTACCTCTCAGGGATTTGCCCACGCACAGAGACAAGAACTTACAGATAGACTAGGACTAGTTTTTTCTGTGACATAGATAATATATATTCTCTTGAGGCTCAGTTTGAGGAATTCCATGTGATCTGTAAGTTAGTATTTCTTTTGAACTTGGTATTGAACCAAGCAATCCAGCTTGGTCATCCTGCCCCTTATGGCACTGCGAGAGTCACTTAGCTCTTGCCTCACGAGTCCCCTTAACCTGTTTCACTGACGGTGTCAGAGTTTTCATACTGGTTGTATTTTGTTTGAGCTGTGTCTCTTTCCTTTCTTATAGCTCCAAATTAACCACTCACTAGAAATAATGTCTTTGGGAGCAGATGAATATATGGAAATGGAGACGGTCTTGTCTGTTTGTCCGTCTCCTTCCCAGAGGCCTGGAGTGCGCAGCCTCAGGGGCTATAGGAGAGAGTCCTTGGGAATTTTTCAGTCATTGAGCACATTGTGGCAGAAGGAGAACAGAAAATGTGGGTTCTAAGCACAGCTTGTGTGACTTCAAGCCTGTTATAGCAGGCCTGTCGATCAGGCAGAACTTTACGGACAACATTTGGGGTATGATAATGGGGAGAACAGCAGAGGATCTGTGGGATCTAGCGAGGTGACTGCCTATCCAGGGCTGCTTCATCTGTATCTCTGTAGAAAAGCCAGTGTATGTGTGTTGGGTGGTGGCAGTGGGAAAAGCTCACAGAACCTCAGTTCTGTTCTCTGTAAGATAGAGGGTGTCCTGCAGAAATCCAGTTTACTCACCTCAAAGGCTGAATCAAATGTGATCATGGGTACAGAAAATGCTTTGTAAGCTATAAATGTTGGCTATTTATCATTCTCTTGGTTATTCACCTTTACTTAATCAACAATTTTTTGAAAACTTACTATATATCTCATACTCTGGTGGGTACCAGGGAGCTAAAAATGATCCCTTCGTTGAAGGGCTTTGAATTTCCCTGAGGAAGGTCACACCCACAAATGCCAGCAGTGGGCTACACTGAAGGCACAGGATAGACAGTACACACCTGCTTTGGAAAGAGGGCTCTTCTGAGAGCTGGTGTATTTGGGGGAGGTTTCATGGATTAGAACTTTGAAAGATGGAAAGATCTGGGTAATTGCACACAGGGAGATTGGCGGCTAGGTAGAGGCCATTTGTTGGAAGTTGTGTTTGTATTAGGTGTTTGAGATAGAAGAGAGAGTTCTCTGTTCCTGTTACTACCATTGTGAAGAGAAGATAGAATTTGGTTTCTGAAAGTATATGGTAACTGTCTTAGAAAAGAGATGTCTGAGGAATTAGGGGACATGTCTGCATGGGGTTAGGATGAGGTTTAAATCAAGCCATAGTTAGGTGTAATTGGGGAAAAATAAGAAATAACTCTTGACAATAGAACAGATGAACGTGTCACACTGTAGGCTACCCTCAAACTAAATAATATAATTTCACATGCAAAGTATATGCAGGTGGGTCGAATACTTTCTGCCTGATATTCACCACTTAAAAACCCGAAATGCTCCCGTATGACAGTGATCAGGCAAATGTACCATTTGAGAATGTTCTATAAACCTTCTCAACCTCAGGGTATAAAGCAAAGTCAGTTGTCTTTGCCTCGTATATGACACGACTACTGATTTGGCTTGGGTCAGAAAGCAATTCCTGAATCTCCCTGGGGAAGGGACCAAAAGGCCCTTGACATCCAGTCACCAGGAGCCTTCAGCTGAGCTCTGCAGGGAGTGCTGCCTGCCGCGGGTGTGCTGGGAAAATAATTGAAAGTGTCCACAGGGAATTAAAAAACAGATGGTTCAGAAACCACTTTGGGGCTTGCAAAAGGACTTCAGCCCTAGTATAGGAATGGGGACGGCGAAAGAAACCTGTGTCAGGGGCAACTGGATGTAAACTCCTGCTGTGTTTGTCATTGGTAAGCATTACTTCACTCGGTGGAAACATCACATCGATAACGGTGTTATCCATCACCTTATACTGTGCATTTGAGAGTCAAGATGTTTTCTTGCTGATAGCTCATGCTTGTAGGAAACAGTATTCCTGGCTTCCATCTTGTGAGAAGGAGTAGGAGGAACAGATGGGACGAGAATGCTTCTCTTTTCCCTCCGTTCCTTTGCAACAGGCTGCTGAATAACAGCTGGAAGGAGTAAATGGGTTCATTCCTGGCAAGATAGACATTCTGTTTAATATTTTGTTTTGGTTAATTTTTTTTTTTTTTTTTTTGTGGTCAGAAGAAAAGATCTCTGTAGAAAAGCCAGTGCAGGTACATATGAGTAAACTGGGTTTTTCTGATCCACACCACATCTGAGTCGGGAAATGTAGTGAGTGATAGCTAGCCTCTTTGTGACAGGATTACATCCGAGAGCTGTAGCTTTTCCTTTCAGTGATTTTTAAGACAGTGATGTCATAGTAAAGCAAGAGAAATTTTAAAGTGGCCAGACTACGTCACAAGCCCTTTTGATATGCAGGTAAATCTTGTGACACATGACACATGCTTTGTCAAGGGCATGAAGAACGGGAGATGAATCGCTGCACAAGTGAACGAAAGATCTCTTCTTGGGAAAGAAAGGGAAAGATCTCTTCTTGATCTAACGCTGCTCTGATTCAGGACAGGAACTCGTGGAAAACCCCAGAGTAGCAAGTGTAATTCAACCCTGCCAGGCCCAAATGCATGATGCCACATATGAATTGATCTCAGGCTGTCATTCCCTCCTCTATCGTAGCTGTATTTTGTATGTATTTTTTCATTTCCTGGGGTGATTTGATGCTGTGACTGAGTACTGACTGAGTTACTATCTTTTAAAGAAATCTTTAGAATTCCTTATCATCAGTGAAATGAAGTTGTGAATTTATTAGTGGGTCCCCGGATGACCCTTTGACTTTGAGGATATACTCTTTTTCAAATTAAGCATTGGTTTGTGTTTTACTTAACCGAACAGATTTTGCTCAAAGGCTGAGGCTCTGATTAGACTTGTATTCCCTGCAGTGCCTATTTGTAGTATGCTGTACACAGTAAATGCTTACTAAATACTTGCTTATCTGCTTTGCCATGACGGGCATCAATAATTATCCCCTGGTCTCTGATTTTTTTTTTCCCCCGACATCAAAAAAGATATTTAAAAATAAAGTAAGGAATATTTATTATCATTAAAGTATTAAGATTATTTATAACAATAGATCTTTTGTTTTATTATTCCACTGAGCATTAGCCTCTATTGTCCTTCTTGGTAAAATGTTATTTACCTGGAACTAAAAGCCTTGGGTTTTATCTTAGCCAAAGAATGTGTGTTTAGCCGAGAATGTAATTAGGGGAAATACTTAAGGGATTGTCAATGCAGTGTTCTTTTAGCTCTTAAGCAATCCATATCCTGCTAAAATGTTTGTCTTTTTTTTTCTTTCTTTCTTTTTTTTTTCCTTCTTCTGGCTGCCGTTCCAGGTCCCTTATTTCTCGCGAGTCTTTGGCGTCCACGACTTTGAGTCTCACAGAGAGTCAGTCAGCCTTGAGCGTGAAACAAGAGTGGTCTCATGGCTACAGGGCTCTCCCGTCACTCTCCTCCAGCCACAGCTCCCAGAACGGCACTGATCTAGGGGACCTCCTTAGCCTTCCTCCCGGGACAGCCGTGTCCAGCAATAGCGTCTCTAACTCACTGCCGTCCTACCTTTTCAGCATGGAAAACAGCCACTCTCCTTACCCCAGTCCCCGGCACTCATCGGCCAGGTCCCACTCAGCCCGCGCCAAGAAGAGAGCACTGTCCTTGTCCCCGCTGTCTGATGGCATTGGGATAGACTTCAATACCATCATCCGCACCTCGCCCACCTCACTGGTCGCCTACATCAACGGGTCGAGGGCTTCCCCGGCCACCATGTCCCCGCAGCCCGAGGTCTACGGGCATTTCCTGGGGGTGCGTGGCAGCTGCATTCCCCAGCCGTGCTCGGTGCCGGGCAGCCAGAAGGGCGTGCGGGTGGCCAGCAGTGGCCTGGTGCTCCCAGCCTACGGCGAGGGCGGCGTGCTGGAGTGTGAGCGCATGCAGCAGCTGGAGCACGGAGGCCTCCAGCCAGGGCTGGTCCACAACATGGTGGTGCAGCATGGCCTGCCCAGCCACGACGGCCAGCCGGGCGGCCTGCTGAAGACGGAGCGCCTCGATGATTTCCCGGGCGGTGCCCTGGACCTGCCCCCTGCGCCCCCTCTGCCGCCTCTGCCGCCAGCCCCCCAGGGCCCCCCGCCCCCCTACCACTCCCACCCCCATCTGCACCACCAGGAGCTAGTGGCCCGTGCCCAGCCGCTGGCCCTTCCCCAGGAGGCCTTGGAGGAGGACGGGGAGATGGAGGACGTTGGGGGCAAACACTGCTGTCGCTGGATCGACTGCAGCGCCCTGTATGACCAGCAGGAGGAACTTGTGCGGCACATCGAGAAGGTTCACATAGACCAGCGCAAAGGGGAAGACTTCACTTGCTTCTGGGCCGGCTGTCCTCGGAGGTATAAGCCGTTCAACGCGCGCTATAAACTGCTCATCCACATGCGAGTCCACTCCGGGGAGAAGCCCAACAAGTGCACGGTGAGTCTCCCGCTGAGGTTCTCAGGCTTTCGTCAGAGGTGCGTGGCGTCTTCCACACTTGGCCACAGATCAGGGACATTTTCTTCTTTTATGGGATTCGGACCCATGGGGGTCTAGGTATCCATGAAATTTGACTTCTCTTTAGCCTGAGGACAGGAAAGATTTCTTTAATTATTGGCAGCGGGGGTCCCGCTCCACTTCTAGATTCTCTTCTGCAATTGTACGTGATCCATACCGTCAGGGGAGGTTGATCTGCCACACTGTCCAGAATCTTGGGAAATCCATGCCTGCCAGGTACCAACTTGAAGTTGCTGAAATGCGCAGGGCAGGGAAACACACGCTGTACTCCCAGCAAGAGCTAGCTTTTTTCCAAAGCAAATATTCAGGGATTTTTCCTTCCCTCCAATAACTGGGCGAGTATTGGGGTTGGAGGAGGGGCTGTTCTGATATTTGGAAAGGAACGCACACTTAGCAACTTGGCCAGTAAAAATGTTGCTGCATACACCCACACGCCTGTACACTGCACACTCTGGGGTTGTGAGCCTAGTTAATGATTTATAGCCAGCGGAAAAACACCCAGGGGATACCACAGGAGCAGGATCTCACAGGATCTCACGGAATCTTAAGGAGAGAAAATTTTGTGGAAAAGTATAAGGAGAATGAACCAAGAGGGGACTATGCCTTGGGTGTTGAAGGAAGTGGCCCTGGTGTCTCTTTCTCTCCTGGCTCCCCTTTTCACAACATCGATCCTGGAACTTGTCTGTGATTCTTGGCAGAATTTGCTATTTTTGAATAATAGGACTCTTAAATGATTTTGCAATCCTTTCACACCTAACAGAAACCCTCAGGGTTTACAAGCAGGACATCACCCTTGGGATCACAGGGCAGCTTTGCACAATCTCCGATAGCTCGCTTAACTCTGGGAAGAAGAAGAGCATGTGTTTTATATTACTTTAGATGGACAGGAATATTTCTTTCAGAGTTAAAATCTGAGAATTGTAGGTAGTCCCTGGATATTGAATATGCCACAGATCACTGAATGTGTGAAACATATAAATCATTTTGAAAAGGGACATATTCAGACGGTGGTCCCCCAGCCAGAGTCCTTTCTTACTCTATATGTCTTGATGATAAAGAATCTGGGCTGTGTTTATGTTTGACTGTAGATTGGCCAAGTTGTCTGATTTATGTAAAAGCAGACCAAATAGGTTGGTAGCTGTAATGCAGGTATTGGAAATACTTTTTCACTATCCAGTAGGTATCTCTGAAAGAGTTTTCAGAATTTCTGGTGGAATGAAATTGCATTTCTTGCCAATACCTTGTGCCCCATGTTGTGATTTTTCGTAAGGAAAACCAGAAGCTGAATCATTGTGAGGATGCCATGTTATATGACTGAAGAGAATAATTACATTTCAGGTGGCAAAACCTTCCTCTGTCAGTAGGGTTCTGCATTAAAAAGGCCAGAAAGAGACAGGCAATTGAAGGCAATTCCATTTAGTCTGGAACACACTGGCCTATTGCAGGCAGGAAAGACGTTCCGTCTCTGAGGGAAAACAGTCCAGCCTCTTAGTTCTGACTAATCCTGGCTGAAAATAGTTTGCTGGATTTGGCTTTACTGAAACAAACATAAAGGCCTGAATGATCCAAAACATATTTTTTGCATTGCAAAATTAATTTTTGTGCAATAGGATTTCCCCATTTTCCCACTCTTCCCAGACTTTGCAATGGCATATAACTTTGTAAAGTTGACTTTTGCTAAAGTGCAGGATGACTATTAAAAATAGAACTATTTCAGTGAAAGAATAAGCTGAGAGGGGAATACTTGCAGGCCTCTGCTTGGCTTTTCATTGTATTATTCCGGATGGGTATGGGAGGTGGTTTGTTTCTTTCCTAGTTTGCCTCCTTCCCACTTCTCGATGGAACCTGTAAAATTCAGATTGCTGGATATAACGGCATATCAAATCTAGACCCACAAAGCATTAAATGGTACATATTATAGTGCAAATATATTGATAAAAAACAGGGTTTCTTAGGAGCTGACTAATGCTGCAGTTCTAGTCATGGGACTGTATGTTTTTTGCAGGAAGATACCCATTTTCATATAATACCTACATGGTGGGAGCATTATGCCTTCTAAACCTGTTCTGTTGCCACATGGCATCTGCTTGATTTGTAGGGTTAGAGCTAAGTGGTGGCACATGATTTTGCTGTGGAAGTTTAGCATTCCTCCCAAGTTGTAGTCCGTGGAGAGAAGACATTGTACTTGACGTGGGTGCACATCTGAAAAGACACATTTTCTGCTTTTTGCAAAACCAATCTTTACACTCTTGGAATCCAAACACAAAGAATTGTTAGAACTGAAATATTTCATCTCCCGCTGCTTTGAAATCTGATGGTAGTTGATTCAAAGCTCAAGATCTTTGCCAAGTAAAATGACCGCATTCATCTCTTGGAGGTATGAAGTGATCTTTGGGTTTCTGTGGCTGTCGCACGCTGCAGAGGCTCGGGGCAGTTTAAATTATAGGACCCAGTCCACTTTTGTTTCACGTATATTTCACCGCTGTTAATTTTCTGTGAGCCGTGGTTAGAGTTAGCCACCATTTTCACTCACTTGGCTTATTGACCCAAGAAGCATGTGATGACCCAATTGTGTTTGGTGACCATGGCTACAGGCAGCACAGTGCGCTTCTGGAAGTCCTGGTGGAAGAAGGACGTGTGAAAGGGCCGCCCAGCGACAGCCTACTTCCAGTAAAAGACGGGTGGGCTCCCGCCGCGCCCCATCCCGTCTCCTGCAGGGAGAGCGCCTTCTCACAATCTGCGCCTCTGCCTCCTCAGCCTCACCCAGCCTCACCCGCTGCGATTCGGATCTCTCAGGATTCTAGGTGTCAGAACTGGGGGAGGACTGCTAGTTCATTATTTGGTTAACTTACTGGAAGAAGAGAATGGTTTCTCTTCTCTTTCCCACCCAAACAACTCCACCCTTCTGTACATCTCATTCTTATTCTTCTGCGGAGAGCCAAACCAGCTGCTCTCTTTCCAGGCCTGGCCCTGATGACAGAGATATTCCCAGCCAGTGGCAAGGGCCTGGAGAAGTAAAGGCCTCGACAGGCAGATAGATGGACCTCAGTTAAATCAGAAACTGGGGTATGGCAGTATTCCGTTAAAAATACCCGAGTCCACTCACTGCTGTCTACTAACTAAACCAATTTCGAGACGCCGAATCATTCTATTTTAGACCTTCCTGAGCTTAGACCCAACCCTAACACTGATGAATCTCAGAATTAACCAAAACTTTTGGGTGTAACTATGCTGAATTCTGTAACGTTTTTCTGAGATGATAAGGGCTCAAATACCCAAGTCAGTACAAGTCATGGAGCCTCGGATTTTGTTTCTCAGACTCCTGTTTCACCGTCCTAAAAGGACAGCATAAAGTTTAACCCCAAATTATTGCTGTACACTAACCATCCTTAGCAGTATCCATAGTAATGGTTCCAACAGAGTGCACACAGAGAACGTTTTTACCATAGGTCTCTTTTGCCATCAAGTTGAAGAGTGTGTAATGCCCGGGTAGCATTCCCAGAAGGTGTGTTCTGAATGAGATCAGGCCCACTGTGTCTGCCAGTACTTCTCATGAGAAAGCCTATCTGATGGGAGCAGAGTGAGCAGAGGGAGAGGGTTCCGTTGCCAGCATCAGAAACACGCACAATAGAAAAGCAGTTTCGTTGGGAGGCTAGGGAGTGTTAATAAGGGAATTAGGGGGAATGCGGGTCGCCACTTATATTTTGCTTATTTTTCCTGGATGAATTTTATCCAATAGCAAATAGGAATTTTGCAAGACTTTTACCCACCCACAGATTTTCACGAAAATGTCACTGGCCAAAGACAGCTTTGAATTTTGTATGAATTGACTCATTTCTCCACAGGCATTTTGCCTGGCAAAATCCAGAGTATTTGCTTTGGCTAGAAGATTGGGCAGTCTGCTTTTTAAGTAACATTGGATTATGGAATACAAGAAAATAAATACAGAGCTGGGGCCATGTCCCCATTCCTCTTTTATGGCCTGATTTATGGGTTCATGGGCCAGCGTTAGCCATGTAAGACATTTCTTGAGGAAAAGTAAATTCATTGTAAACTGTGGAAGAAGTTTTTTTAAAATCACATCCTTTATTTTGTTATTTTGATAAGACTTGGCATTGATGGGGTAACCACAACTATATGGCCAGAAGAGAACTTAGGAAAATATTATCTAAGTATAACTGTTGGTTACCACTTCACAACCTTCAAATTGGCAACAATTAATAAATTCTCATAATGTCAAGTATTGGTGAGGATATAGAGAATGAGGAATGGTTTAACATGGCTGGTGAGAGTAAATTGGTGTAACCACTTTGGAAAAAAATTGGGGAACATCTAGTAAAGATGAAAATGAGCATATCCAACAAAATCATGTCTACTTGTCTACGCTAGGGAAACTCTTGTATACAGTAGCAGTGCCACATGCAAAAAGATGTTTATTGTACCTCTGTTTCTAAAAAAAATGTAAATAATCTAACTGTCCATAGATGAGGTAAATTGATAAACTGTGGTTTATTCTTAATGAAGTAATATAAAGGAGTTTAAAATTAATGAACTAGGTATAAATCTCTATATCTCTAGATGGATAGATGGATGAATAGATATATAGATATCAATGTGGCTACATCTCAAAAAACAATGTTGAATGAAAAAATTAAATGCAAGAAGGATATATACAGTGTAATACAGTTTATATGCATTTAGACACACACTAAGCAGTACTATGTAGCTGTGGCGGATACATAATTACTGTGGGCAGGATAATCAATAACCTTTGAATAGTAGATTCTCCTGGAGAGGAAAGAAGTAAGAAGAAACGGGATGGGTATTTTGCCTTTTTTCCAGGCGTGAGAGCATTGAAATAAATATGGCAAAATATTAATTTCTTTTTAGCTTGGTGGCGGTAGGAGGTATCATAGGTATCT